AAAATCTCACTGTACTGTTATATGCGCAAAGTAAGTCACCTATATAGTATGTACTGTCTGTGTCTATTTACAAAGCTTTTTATTGTCCGATAATCAGGAAGTGTACGGTTTGCACGCTAGTTAGCAAATTAGGTAAGTGGGGAATAACATGCAAACATGAAAAACTAGTTCATTTTAAACATTTTTCTGTGGTCTAAAGTTATTCCTCGTTTACCTTATGGATTCAGAACTAGGGCCCGACCAATATGGATTTTTTTGTGGCCAATATAATACAGATAAAATGGAAGTTGGAGCTGTCGATCACCAATATAAAAGCTGATATATTTAGTGATGAAATCTTCAATTGATTATAAAACTTAGGTTTGGCTCTAATGGCATTTTTGTATGACATTCTAGCCAGTAAAAAAAGTAAGTAAACTCAACGCTATTCACCTTTCGCAGTAAATGTGTGCGTACAGTGGTAAGAAATTGTATGTGTAAATGCGGATAATTCACACCTCTTTTCACAGCTCATTTACATATCCATAATATGTAAAGTAATATATCTATAGTCACATCACAGTTGGCCAGTGGAAGAGAAAACAGCAGCTAAGCACTAACCAATAAGAAAGAATGAAAAGTAGCTTCAAAACCGACACATTTGCAACACTCACCGCTCACACAGGCTCCTCTCAGATCACAAATCTTCACTAATAAGTGTCCTTTTAGTCTGAATCAAAACGATCGTCTCTAAATATAATATAATCCAGCATGTTGACAGCAGCTGTGTGTGTAAACAAGGACATGTGAGTCACGTGACTCTGGGGGAGCGTTCAGGGACAGTACAGCGTCACGGACACAAACAAATGACTCTGCAGATAAATATAGATGCTGCGCTACATATTAGGGCATTTATCTGTTTGTAAATTGGATTAAATGGACATAATATAGAGAGTCTAAACTTTTTAAGGAAGTATAACATGCCCACGTGGCCCATATCGGCAAGATTTAGGCCAATGTCTCAAAGTGACCATAACAGCCATTAATGTCAGCCAGCCTATATATCAGTCAGGCCCTATGCAGAACATCATAATTATTCACTGTGTTGAATGTATAAGCACTTTTCATGGTTATTCTAACAACTACTGGCATGCAGCCCCACAGCAAAGGGTGACTACTTTGTGGATTTCAGTATAAAATGTGAAAAATATTATTAAGAGTTTTTTTTTGTTTTTTTTGTTACATCATTCCAAATATCTTCCTTCATATATTTAATGTCTTCCATATGAAAAAATGTCCATAGGTAGCCAGCCTCTGAGCATGGGTGCACTTCCAGCTCCATCGACTCCAGCTCCAGTTCACTTTGTATTGAAAAAACGTTGCCCCTTTGTCCATAAATCAATTCCTGTTCTTATGGAACTATGATAGAAATTTAGACTGTGGAAAGATTTCTTTCTGTGTCTTTGTGAAAATGAATGTGATTTTCTACCTGAAACCCAGACCATCATTAACATGTGTAAAGGTTCATCAGGCACAACTGTCTCCTCCTTCAGGAAGCTTTTTGTTGTCCTCAACTATATGTTAATTTAGCACCAGCCTCTGAAAACAAAGTCACTCTGCATTGATATGTATGTTACTTGTATTTCTGTAGAAATACTCAGAGCGCATATACTTGGGGCAGATACTGGGCAGATATTGGGGAGAGACTTGGAAGATGGAGCAAGATGTGGTTGGGACATACTGCTGGTGGAGAGAGGCTGTTGGTCTGTGGCCAGGTCAGGCCTAGGCCCTGTCCATATCTACTGTAACAAGAATAAACCTTGGTCTATATTCCAAAAACTCATCAGGCTTTGCAAATGGATTCATTATTTATCGTCAAGAGATATATCATTTTTGCCACAACGGAACTCAGCTCTAAATCGCCTCAGAACTGCCAGCCTCGATGAGCTTCATTTGACTGAAGCTGAACGCTATGGGCGACATCACACTCTCTTAGTCCACTTCTTTATACAGTCTATGCTTCTGTATGACTGAGAAAATGTGTCTAAACGTTTGACTATTTGTGTATATTGATCTCAAGAGCTGATCATTATTACTGGAGTAAAATGGAATTTGCTCAGAAACATGAAAAAATCGGCACAGCGCCTTTAATAACAGCAGTACTATCTCTACTATTTGTGCCGTAAAGTTTCCTCAAGGCTGTCAGGTCATGTCCTTGTAACCGCGTATAAACTAATACGAGCGACCTTCTGTAAACCTCCATTTATTTCATGACAACCTGTTAAATAATGTTAATGTTCACCCTGAGAAGAGCCATTACACTTAAACACTATTATTTTATAGGAGCATTTCTCATTGAGTCAGAGGCAAATGTAATTCCCCATAGGGCTGTCATTTGTCTGGAGTATATCCGCTGTCCGCACATTCTCACCCCGCACATAAAGACACATCAGTGCACTGTGCAAGAACAATGCAGCTCTCAGTGCAACTACACTATGGGCAAGTCTGATACCCCCGAGACATATTTATCCTACATTTTAACCCCAAATTACTCCAAATCTTAAATCTGACCATGTAGTTGCATCCTGATTGCTTTATGAATGTAACCTTGCATGGATTCTGGTGATATTCATCTTGGAGTGCTCCCACTGTAAAGTTAATTGGCGAACCAGTCACAGAGCAGCACTGAGCGACCAAATGAACCGAAACAAACATGGAGACACCGACATTCAGCCTATTTTGTGAAAGTACAGATTATTTAGTTTGTGAAAAATGTGCAAAAGGTAAAAGCTTTGTCTGTTTGTGGACAGGGAAGATGTCTGTGCTTTTCTTTTAACTGGATGTAACAAAAGTTTTTAGTTTTTTTTTGTTTTGTTTTTTTTTCCGGTTTGTTCTGCTGGTTTTGTGGCGCTTTGATAAATAATCATCATGATATTCCATGTTTTCTGATCGGTTTCAGACAGAGCCATCCCAGCCAATATGTAGAAGGGCCCGGTCAAGCAGAACTATACAGCAAGGCCAAAAATTCAAGTTAATGCATCTGATATAAAAATGTATTCAACAGATACATATGTACTCTAGTTTATGAAACTGTTCACCTTTTTTCTGTACCATTTTTGGTTCTAAAGTTCCATACGTTTTAAACAGACCATGTATGAAACATGGAACAAAAATTATTTCCCAAATTTCTAAGACCTGCAAATCATGTAAATAAATGGATGTATTTCATCATATCTTGTGTTATTCCATCTTAGAACTGTTGATGAAGGTACATGATTTTTCCCAAAAAATGTATTTAAAATGATAAAAATTTGCTTGGAAGGACTGACATATTTTATAGAAATAGTTTCCTTTCATTTTGAAGTAATATTAAAGCATTCAGAAGAAAAAAGCTGACAAATTATGCAAAATCATGCACCTTCTACTTGCTTGAACAATTTTCCCTCCGTTACTTTTCCCTCCGTTACCATGACCTTTCTTAATAAAAAATCTCATTACTCAAAAAGTAAGAGGTTTTTAAACCTAATCTTGTACCATATGGTAGAAAACTATATGAAGCAAATATTCAAACCAGTTTGTTAAGGATATGTAAGTGAGAACCAAGAGTTATCACTGTTTGTATTTATTGCCCAAAAAGTGCTGCATATTTCATTTCCTCCGTTATTGACATGAGTTTTTAAATTTTTTGTCAACAACTTGAAAGAATATCACAGGTTTAACTTTACCCTGTTGGAGTGTAACTCTTTCCTACATTCTGATACTTTACTTATTTCAATAGTCCCTCTAGTTTCTGAATAAGAGCTATTTGAATGTAAAAAATCTGCCCCTGTTTCCCTCCGTTACCACTTGACTGGACCCAGAAGTCAGTTCTAGTGATACACGTATTAGTGTGGTGTGAGCCAGGTTAGTTTGAATGGATCCAATAAGTAAATGGCAAAGGCAGTACCATCATTTACTCAACAAACATGAAAATATCCTGTCATATTCTGAAAGAAAAACGCTAACCCTGTGATTTACATCTGTACAAACATGTGTGACTCTTGTATTAGGTCAGGGGTGTCAAACTCAAATTCACAGAGGCCAAAATTAAAAACTGGGACTAAGTCGTGGGCCAAACTAAATATTTACTGAAAAATGTCAAATTTCTCTTCTTTTGAGATGTGTAATGTTAAACCTTTTCTTATTGATATAAATGTTTAATAATAGTTTTGCTTAAACATTGAATCCAGAACAAGCAAAATATAAAATAATAACAACATTTTAAATAAATAATGTCTCTATTTTCTATCTGTAGCCGGTGGGCAGCTCTAATACATACTGATACATGATATGATCTTGCGGGCCAAATATGATTATATTGCGGGCCAAATTTGGTCGCTGGGCCTGAGTTTGACATGTCTGTATTAGTTTGTCACTTCAAATTTCAGCCGTTTGGTGAATTCTTCTGTTTAAAATGTGAACTTTGAGCAGAATCTAATTGTATTAAAACATAAATCGCAAATCCAATCTCAAAGCCTATAAGAGATAGCTATAATTATAGGAAAATGTTATTCCAATGACTCTAGAGTGGTGTCAATTCACTGTTTTTGTGGTGTTTTTGCCCTATTTAACCCAGCACATGTATAATAAGTCAAATCAAAACACAACTGCAGGGTCAACTTTACGTAATATAGGACCTTTAAAGAGAGTTTGAATACTGAAGTCGTCAAAGAAAGAAGAGATTTGCCTTGAAAACCTGGAGAGACGATTCCATTATGTCAGTGTGTCAGTGTGTATAGTCCTGGAACATTTGAACCGGGGAAAAAAACATCTGCTCTCCACTCTCCTCATCACAGCCAGACCCTCCTGACTCTGGCTTTGGTCCTGGAAGAAAAAAAACTATTATAAAAATGCTGATGTGTAAAAATTCAAAAAACCTCTTCCTCTCTCGTCCCTGCCATCCTGTTCGGAAGCGGGGCGTTCAGGGGCTGTCTGTATCTTTTGCATGTTCATTAATTTTAAATATGTTCGTGCTGTTTCAGATGGAGTTGCTGGATAAATTCCCAGTGGAAGGAGGACAGAAAGACCCAAAGAGGAGAATCATTCCTTTTCTGCCAGGTATGAACTGTCTGTAAAACTATGGTTGGATGCTTTGGTTTCTTGGTATTTCAAATTTTAACCTTGAAATTATTATTGGTTTATGCTTTTATTAAACCTTGGAAGACACCATTTTCCCTAAATCATGAAGAATTATAAATGGAAAAACAAAAAAATAAGGAATATAATAGGCGTCAGTAGCATGTTTGTCCACTGATCTGAAGGTTTGCAGTTTGAATCTCACTGTCAACAAAAAACATTTGGTTGAGTAGTTAGATCCACTGACCCACAGGTTGGTGTTGCGATTCCAGCTCCCACAGATCAATGCTTTCGTTGTGTCCTTGGGCAAGACACTTAACCCACCTCACCCCTCTGTGTACACTGGTGTATGAATGTGTGTTTGAATGGGTGAGTGGTTTGAGTGTCTTAAAGGGGGAAAAGCGCTTTATAAAAATGTGACCGTTAACCAAATAGGAATAGAATTTATTTTTCCATAGTTAGATTTAGTCAAATAAAATAGATCCAGACATCGTTGCATCGCATAGGAACTTTTGTATACATATATATATGTTGTTGTTTTTTTCTTACTTTAGTAAGAATTTTTTTTTTCATCCTATAAATCATTTGAATTTTGTACAACATTTCTGGTTATGACCCAAACGTTGTAATTACCGTATTTTTGGGACTACAAGACGCACTTAAAATCCTTTAATTTTCTCAAAAAAATCAACAGTGCGCCTTATAATCTGGTGTGCTTTATCTATTAAATCTGGTTGTGCTTACTGATCTCGAACTGATTTTATGTGGAACACGGTGCTCAAAAATCTGTCAAAATGTGTTAGTACGACTTTGATAAACTACGAAGCTGCAACACTTGATAGATTGTTGGAGCACTATGACTACTGTAGTCAGGAGCCTCGCAGAGCAAATCCGACAGAAGCTGAACCGCATCAGCACAAGGAGCGAGCTGTTTTTTCAGCGCTTATAGTTTATGAAAATGAACCATGTGGTTTTAAGTTTTGTTCTTGTAAAATGTAAACAATTGCGCGCAAAGTTGCATTAAACACATTATCACTCAAGGTATATTTGAATAGTTCTTGTAGGAAATAAAAAAACAAACTTAAATGATCCACCCACATTCACATTCATAATCCACATTCACCAAGACAGAGAGGCAACAAATTATGAATTAAATGGATCGTGGACGCCTGGGCTAAGGATCAGTCTCAAGTGTCGTCCGTTTGTTTCACTTAATGCTTCTTATAATCCAGTGCACCTTATGTATGAAAACAGGCGAGAGAATTCAGCATTATTGATACTGCGCCTTATAAAAATATATATAAATATATGGTATTAACTATTAATATAGGCCTACATGTATCATAAGTAGAGAGAGAACTATATTGAAGTTGATCTGTATATCAGTTGTATATTTGTACTTTTTGGCTGATATTTATTTTTGGCTGGCCTGCTGTCTAAAGTATACAAATAGAATATAAATTTGAACACTACAGTAATAAAAAATAACTCAGTTTCTCTCTTAGAGGATTGTAGTTAAAAATGGGCTTTGGGTGAATTTGTAATAAACTTAAATTAGAACTAAATCATCTAAAAATGGACCCAAAAGTCTCAGCAGAGTGAATCAGCGTTTGGTTCCTCTGTATTCTAAAAAAAACCTCATCAGTCACTCACTAATTGTAATTCCAGTACATTATGCAACGTCATTTTAATGAAGTTTGGAAGATATTACTGTTATCGAGGATTGAAATAATTCAGTAAAACATATTGGAACTATCAAATTGAAATCACAATTGGAGTTGACGCAATTATGAAATCACAAAGGCTGCAATTATTTATAACAGAACTCACTTGTCTTTTTATAGAAACTTCTTGTATCTGAGTCCTGTTCAATGTGCTCTGTGAATTGTACTTTTTACTTTTCTCCTGATCTATGTTCTAATGCGGTTTCCTCGTCACAAACAGAACCTCTGACTCCTGCCAGGTTTAGGATTTTAACTTTTTTTTTTTCCTCGTTTTGTCCCAAAGCGTCTGGAAGTGATTGAGGGCGAACACTCGTATCACTGTCTCTTTAGCGCAGGAAAAAGCTGTCAGTCTTTGCCTAAAATAGTACTTTTCCACTGAGTCTGTTGAAGTACTGATAAATCAAACATGCATCAGATGTAGTACTTCAAAGTGCTGCTGAAGTTTTTTTTTTCTCAGGGAAGTAAGTAGTTTTGTATATTTTGTTTTCATGTTACTTCAGATATGTTTACTCAAGATTTGATAGATTTTATTGGAAAGTATTTGTCCACAAAGGATACTTGTACTAATACTGCTACTGATGATTACTATTACTACAACTGCTACTACTAATACAGTAATTACTACTGGAACACGTACTATTACAACAGCGATACTACTACTACAACAATTGAGTTTTACCAATATAACAATTACTACTACTACTACTACTACAATTACTACTACAATAACAACTACTACTATTACGTCTACTACTACTACTGCTGCAACTACTACAACTATTACTATAACTACAACAACTACGACAACTACGACAACTACTACAACTACAACTACAACAGCAACAACAACTACTACTACTACTACCACTACCACCACTACAACAACTACTACTACTACTACTACTACAACAAGAACAACAACTACTACTACAACTAACAACTACTACTACAACTACAACTACTACCACAACTACAACTACTACAACTAACTACTACTACTACAACAACTACTACTACTACTAACAACTACTACTACTACTACTAACAACAACTACTACTACAACTACTACTACTACTAACAACTACTACTACTACAACTACAACTACTACTACTAACAACTACTAACTACTACAACTACTACTACTACTACACAACTACAAACTACTACACAACTACTACTACAACTACTTACTACAACAACTACTACTAACTACAACAACTACTACTACTACTACTACACAACAACTACTACTACAACTACTAACTACTACAACAACTACAACTACTACCACAACTACTACAACAACTACTACTACTACAACAACTACAACTACTACCACAACTACTACTACAAACAACTACTAACTACAACTACTACTACTACTACTACAACAAACTACTACTACTACAACACTACTACTACTACTAACTACTACAACAACTACTACTACTACAACAACAACTACTACTACTACTACAACAACAACTACTACTACTACTACAACTACAACTACTACCACAACTACTGCCACTGCAACAACTACTACCACTACTACTACTACAGTGATTAGTACTACTTATTCAATAACGATTACTACTAGTACTACTAATACAACTACTAATTTCACACGATTCTATTAGAAAATCGTGTGTTGTGTTGAGTGTTTGTCCTCTGATCCGAAGGTTGGTGGTTCAAATCCCGCTCTCGACAAAAAAGTCATCTGTTTAGCGCTGACCCACAGGTTGGCAGATGAATGCTGTTGTTGTGTCCTTGGGCAAGACACTTAACTTCCCCATTTCCTGAGCATTTGCTATACCGCAGTATATGTATCACTGTAATTGGTAGTAAACACAATCTTATCAGTAACGTTTTTGATTATTTGTTTGTATATTTTGTACTTTTTGTCAGGTCCAGTGTTTTTTTTTTCTTCTTTTTTTCTTACTGTGACCATGTGTAGAAGAAATATCGTAGAAATATTTGAGGTTACAGACACATTTCATCCACTTGTAGATCTGGTTCGTCTGGACTCTGACTTGCATAAAAAGTGTCTCGTCAGATCCGTAGTTTTACACAACACCAGTCTGCAGTCTGGAGGATGGACAGAGCGAGGGAGGAGAGAGAGAGGAAAGAGAGAAGGAGAAAGCGGAGAGGTGGAGGGAGGAGAGAGAGGGAAGACAGGGTAGAAAGAGAGAGGGGAGAGGAGAGAGAGAAGAAGAGAGGGCAGAGATGGAGGGAGGGAAGAGAGAGAGAAGCGAGGATACAGAAAAGGAGAGAGGGGAGAGACGGGGGAAGGAGAGAGAGGATAGAAGGAGAGAGGGGAGAGATGGAGGGAGAGAGGGAGAGAGAAGAGAGGATAGAAGGAGAGAGGGGAAAGGTGGAAGGAAAGAGAAACAGAATAGAGGTGGAGAGAGGGGAGCGATGGAGGGAGGAAGGAGAGAGGATAGAAGGAGAGAGGGGAGAGATGGAGGGAAAGAGACAGAGAGGGGAGAGAAGGACGGAGCAGAATGAAAGAAGAGAGGATAGAGTGAAGGAGAGAGGGGAGAGAGAGAGGGAGGAGAGAGAGATGGGCGAAGGAGAGAGAAGCAAGGATACAGAAAAGGAGAGAGCGGAGGGATTGGGGGAGAAGAAGATGAAGAGAAGAAGAGAGGGGAGAGATGGGGGAAGGAGAGAGAGAGGATAGAAAGAGAGAGGGGAGAGATGGAGGGAAAGAGAGAGAGAAGAGAGGATAGAAGGAGAGAGGGGAGAGAGGGAGGGACAGAGAAAGAGAGAGGGGAGAGATAGAGGGAAAGAGCGAGAGAAGAGAGGATAGAAGGAGAGAGGGGAGAGAGAAGGAGAGAGGAGAGATAGAGGGAAAGAGAGAAGAGAGGATAGAAGGAGAGAGGGGAGAGATAGAGGGAAAGAGCGAGAGAAGAGAGGATAGAAGGAGAGAGGGGAGAGATAGAGGGAAAGAGAGAGAGAGAAGAGAGGATAGAAGGAGAGATAGAGGGAAAGAGAGAGAGAAGAGAGGATAGAAGGAGAGAGGGGAGAGAGGGAGGGACAGAGAAAGAGAGAGGGGAGAGATGGAGGGAAAGAGAGACAGAGAAGAGAGGATAGAGGGAGAGAGGGGAGAGAGAAGGAGAGATAGAGGGAGAGAGAGAAGGAGAGAGGGGAGAGATAGAGGGAAAGAGAGAGAGAGAGAAGAGAGGACAGAAGGAGAGAGGGGAGAGAGAGGAGAGATAGAGGGAAAGAGAGAAGAGAGGATAGCAGGAGAGAGGGG